AAGAGTATCACAACCGAAAATAGACACTCACCCTCCCTCCCTTCGCTCCCTTCCCTTCGCTTCCTCCCTTCGCTCCCTCCCTCTCTCCCTTCCTCCCCTCGCTCCCTTCCCTTCGCTCCCTTCCCTTCGCTCCCTTCCCTTCGCTTCCTCCCTTCGCTCCCTCCCTCTCTCCCTTCCACCCCTCGCTCCCTCCCTTCGCTCCCTTCCCTTCGCTCCCTTCCCTTCGCTTCCTCCCTTCGCTCCCTCCCTCTCTCCCTTCCTCCCCTCGCTCCCTCCCTTCGCTCCCTCCCTTCGCTCCCTCCCTTCGCTTCCTCCTTCCCTTCGCTCCCTCCCTCGCACCCTTGCCCTTCGTTCCCTCCATTCTTCCGGCTCATTCCGTATGCATATTTTCTCAGAATAGAAAAATTTCTGCCCCTCATACCGTCACCCACTGAGAGGCTTTCAGTGTCGATGCCTCTCAAACTGTGAGGCTCCGAGCCCCGGGGGGTACCAGCTGTGATGTAACCGGAGGGGTACTAAGAATAAAAGGTTTTAGAACTGTACCGTGAGGCAATTAGATTTAAGAGAATTATTATAGAAAGGTACAGTAAATAATTGTTTTATGGATGAAGTGACTTATATATTTGTATTTATAATACTCATTGTATCTTTGACTTGTACAATAATAGACACATGGTACTTTTGTTTGAATTTTGAAAACAAAAAGATTTGAGAAGAACAATCTAGAATAGATATTAATTAGACCTTTTATAATATATTTTTGACGTAAAATCGACAAAATTATTGTAAAGAATTTGATAGTATCTAATTTTTACATACATATTTATGTTTAATATTCTTTTTCCTGCCACGCCGCGCCGTCACCTTTGCCATTCAAGATTGGCGGCTTCGAATAAGAATAATAGCTATTAATAAGCGATTTACTTTTATTTCATATGTTCTCAACGAGCAGTTTAGGTTGGTTTTCGAGAAATTAATCGACTATTTGTTATTTTGCACGCCAACTCCACGCCATACCACCGAGGCTCTTTACCATGGCAGCTCCTTCTCCTCTTCCGCAGCAGACGGTGAGGATGAACGCTACATCCCTCCCTCCTCCTCCTCCTCCTCCCCTTCCTACTGCTCATACTACCTCTCCTTCTCCTGCCTCTCCAATCACTGTTGCGAATTATCCCTCCCTTTCTTCCTTCCTCTCGTCACTCTCCTCGTCCCTCTCCTCTCCCCACTGCTCACATTCCCTCTCCATCCATCTGTCAAGTCCACCAGTCGCTGCAGCAGCCTCGTCAAACTCGCTGATCTCAATGTAGGGGCTGCCGGAGGACGAAGCGGTAGGAGGGTACAACAGCGATGAATACAGCGACGATGATGACCCAGGTCAGTTTTGTTGAGCTCCTTTGTCTTTCCCTGCTGTCTTATAACAAAACTCATCCCTTTGGTTCGAACAGGATACAGAATCGTGCTGGTGGAAGATGTCGGAGAGCTGTACCCTGACATTTCCTACCGCTTGAGGAGGAGAGGGGGGTCTCAAAGCCACCAGATGGGTCCGAATCATGCAGAGACCCCGGATAAAGCCAAACCTACCAAGATCTCCGCAGGTCCTCGCATCGATGTGAAGCCGTTGAAAGATGCTGCTGCAAGCAAACCAGCAGAGAAAGTCGCCGAGGTCAAGGCGGATGTAGCGAACGAGCTCGACCTGGCGGTTTCCAGCACAGGGAAGCCCCAAGGATACAAGGAAGTCGATCCGACAGGTGGTGCTGTTGCTAAGGACGCAGCAACCGTCGCCTCCTCGCATCCTGAGGCTAGCAATCAAGGCAGAGCAACAGAAGAGGAGGAAGACAACGAGGATGAAGCCGCAGATGAGGCGGTACAGGAAGATATGCTAGCTGCGCATCACATGCCTGACTTGATAGAGGGAGCTCAGCCGATGTTCGTGTCGGAACATAGCCAGGACAGCCTTACTCCCAACGCTGCAATGAAACCTCAACTGTCCTCAGCGACCGAGTCAGAGAAACAGGAGGAAGCAGCCGTTTTGACGAAGGGACCTGGAAAGGGGAGTTTCAACAGCGGAGCCCCAGCTCAATCAGATGTAAAAACACCTACAAATTCAGCCTTGATCCCTCCTGTGTTGTCTGCATCACGTCCGAATGGAACTGGAAGGGTGAGGAGTGTCATGACGGTTCCATTTGGATCTAACCATGCACTTTTTGTTTGACAGTCAGAAGAAAATGCTCTCGATGGGGGCGATGATACTGTGTACTATGATTGCTTTGATCTGAAGATTGTGTATGAGAGGAACAGGTGGGGAAATTTGGCCATTGGTCTTTTTGTTTCCTTCTTTGATTTCGAAAGCTTGATTTCATCCTCTTTGGACGTTTCCTTACCTTATCTTCTTACTGTTGGAGCAGAACGGGATTTGAAGAATCCAAGGACTATCCTATTGAGATAAATGGCGTAATAGCAGGCCGCTATCAGGTACATGTTTGTTTCTTCGACACGAGAAGTTCACGCTCGTGGAAGATCTTGGAGTTTCTTGGAGCAGCTGCTTTCAGCAAAGCTGTGCAATGTGTGGACTTGACCGACGGGTCGTATGTTTGTATCAAGATTATCAAGAACAACAAGGTGCTTGATCGAGATCTTTGGATGTTGCGCTTGGATTCACTGCATGACTGGCAGGATTTCTTTGATCAGAGCTTGGACGAGATCAAGATCCTGAAGTACATAAATGCGCATGACAGTCGAGACGAACATCATCTGTTACAGCTGTAAAGGCTCTTTGAAGCAGCTTCGCATCTCCTGACAATCTTCCAGATTCGATTACTTTTACTTCAAAGAGCACTTGTTTATTGTGACTGAGCTTCTTCGAGATAATTTGTAAATTTGAGCTTCACTCTGCATATTCCAACTGATTGCTCGTTCAATAGGTATGAGTTCAGCAAGTTCAACAGGGAAAGCGGAGCTGAAAGTTATTTCACGATGCCGCGTTTGCAAAAGATAACCAAGGTCACTTGATGTCGAGCTCCACGATTGGTGAATGGTTGAATGGTTCTTGCAGGAGTGTTTGGTTGGACTCAAGTTTGTGCACGCCCTCGGACTTATTCATTGCGACCTAAAACCTGAAAATATATTGATCCGATCTTACAGCCGATGTGAGATCAAAATTATTGGTGATACCCTCTCCACTGCTGCTGGATATGAACTAACCGTCTTCCCCAGACTTTGGAAGCTCTTGTTTCATAACAGATCATCTGACGTGATTGATTGTCCATGGCTTGTGCGAGACCTGAATTTGACTATAGATCTTACGTGCAATCACGATCATATCGCGCCCCGGAAGTGATCTTGGGTTTGCCATATGACCAGCAGATAGATATGTGGTCACTTGGTTGTATACTTGCGGAACTTTGGACCGGTAGAGTGCTGTTCCAGGTCGATTCTTTTGTTCCACCGACGTCCATCCTATTGAGCACCTTGCAGAATGACTCCTTGGCAACCTTGTTGGCCAGAGTTGTAGGTATATTAGGAGGGATAGAAGAGAACATGCTCTTTCAGGTACTGTGTGCCTGTTTCTTGCTCCTCGATGCTGACTAGAGGGCTTCAGGGAAGATACACACACAGATTCTTTACAAAAACAAAAATTATTTATGATCGGTAACTGTCCTTCGTCCTATCCATCCTTGTTCATTGTAATGTGCTGGTGTTCAGGTTATCAGACGATAATGGATCACTTGTTTATATCTTTCCGAAGAAGGTAAATTGTTCAATGCTTGGTGTGGACAATTGTAATGGGCTCTGCAGACGACGTTGAGACACCGACTTGGAACTGATGACGAATTGTTTATTGACTTCATTGGTATTCTGAAATTTTCTCTTGCCTTTCCATCCTTTCGCTGACTATCAGCGCAGACAAGTTACTGCAAGTGAACCCCACAAAAAGTAAGTCTGCTCCAGGCTGTATTCTGAATGACGATGATGTCAGGATTTACCGCAGAACAAGCTTTGCACCATCCTTGGCTTGCGCATCAATACGCATGAGTCAGATCCGTGAATATGACGACCATGCAAGATCCAAAGAAAGACATTCGTTTCAGAGAGTGAGAGGAGCTTGAATTTCTATGCCTTTTTATTTTTTTTACAAAGAACAATTCTGCTAATACGTGGATGTCACTGCCTACTTGATCGCCTGCCGTTGAAGTCAGACGGATGATGCCATGGAACTGGCCTTACGTACCGGAAGATGGACTTGCTGATTGATGACGATGCTTTCCTTCTGCTCAGTTGTCAGTTCGTGTTCATCATCAGCAGACGCTTTGCCTCAGGTGTCATTTCAGGCTTCCTCCCTTCCGTCACGAGGGCTCTGCAATGTTGGTCACAGAAGTACGGAAGATCGACGGGAGGAGGGAAAGGAATTCTCAGGATTTTAGGGATGTTATCACTTCGATCGCGGAGATGCTGTTTCCGCCGCAGGAGCAGACGGACGTCGAGTGGTACCTGCAAGGGCGTGAGTCCCAGGGGAGGAGTTGGAAGGGACTGTAGAACGTGGGGAGTCGCGCATCTCCCGAGGCGTCACCACCCGTCTGTTGGGGGACTTCCCTAGGAGCAGATGAGAAGTGAATGTGCAGACAAGGTGAGGACCTTGACCCGCCAGGTCTTGTAGGGACCCGTCCGGATACACTAGAACAACCTTGTCGCTGACTCCGTGGTAGAACCTCCCGTCTGTTCCCTTGACCCGCTCCGACACTGTAGCTCATGTTACAGTCCCACCAACACCTCTCCCCCTCACCGTAGGCAGGCATGGGGAGGTTGCGATGGGCGGGCTTGTCTTTGGTCTCGGGCTCCTCTGGGGCTCGACGAGCTGGAGAACTTTGCGGAGGCTTGAGCAGGTACACGTCCTTGGTGTAGCCGACAGCGTTGAGGAAAGCCGCCTTGCTCTGCTCCTCGAGAACCTCCCGCATGATGCCGCTGACGAAGCCTTTGTCCGCCTTCTTGGTCATGGTCTGATGTAACGACTTGAAGGCCCTCCATAGCTCCTGGATCTCATCGCTCGCCTCCTGCATCTCCGTCAGTCTTCCCATCGCTCGAGGCTCTGTAGACCTCGCCCGTAGCGAACCCTCGCACGCGATCCATGCTCTGTTGGACCTGAGAAAAGACATCTTGCAAGATAGACCGCACGTACGAGCGATCGACTTTGTCTTCCAGCTCCTCCTGCTGCGCTTTGGAGTCCAGGTCCTTTTCCATCTTCACCATAGTGCGAAACAGAATCTGCAGCTCCGCGTTGTGCGTCTTGAGGGTCTGAGAGATCTGCTGCATCTGCGTGGGGTTGGGGGGCATGTGGACGTACGTGCTGACTTCCCTGACCGGGTTGGCGATGGGGGAGGAGGTGAGGAGCTTGGTAGTGCTGGAGATCTTCTCCTTCAACATCTCAAGAGCGGAGAGGAACTCCTTTGACGTCATCTCGGTGACCTGTGCGTTCTCCGCCATGCTCGAGTCCATTGCTCGCAGCTTCTCCTCCAAGACGTTCTGCGTCTGCGCAATCCTCTCAATCTGCTGAGAGAGCTCTGCTTGCGAGCTTGACGCCAGCTCCTCCATTTCCCTTCTCATCCTCTCCTGCTGCTCGGCGATCTCCTCGAGTCGCGTCCAGATCGCATCTCCGTCCACCGGGGACGCTGACTTGCCCCGAGGAGCTGGACTCGTCGACACTTCTGCCATGTTGGGTCCGTCAACCTGCACCTCTGATGACGTCGACTGAGGATGCTGCGCTGTTTGCTGCAGGAGCTCCACGGCCTCTCCCAGTTGTTGTATGCTCGACCTCATGTCGTTGATGGAAGAGCCAGCTATCAACCGCTCGTACTCGTGTTGCAGGTACTGCACTGATAGGAGGTGTTGTGATATCTCCTCCCTCACACTTGATACTGTGTTGGTGTTCTCCTCCAGCACAGGCTCCACCTGCGTCATGACGCTTTCTAAGTTCGTCACGGTCGCGTGTTTGAGCTCAGCTAGGAGTTCGTCCTTGAGCTGAGCGAACTTGATCTCGAGCATGGGCATCAACAGCGCTTTGACGTCTTGGTCTGAAAGTGAAGCTGGAGATGAATTGCTGTTTCCTAAGGAGCGGTGGAGCTCCCTAATCTCCTTTTCTATCTGCTCTCGCTCAGCTTTTTCCCTTTGGAGCAAGAAGACAACTTCGTCGTTCTTCTTCTGGAGATCCTGGGTGGCTTTATGCATCTCCTATTAACACATCGCACATTACATGCCGCCAGTCACTCTCTGACTGCTCCCCCTCCCTCCCTCTTGCCCATGACCCTCACTCATTCTAAGTCTCTTCTCCCCTGCTCTGTCCTGTCCTCTACCGTCATCTACTGTGCTCTACTGTGCTCTCCCTCTCTCTCCTCCCTTCCCCTCCCTCCCCCCCTCTCTCACCTCCATCTTCCGCCGCAGCGGCGCATCGTCGATGAGAACTTCCGGCATGAAGGCGATGGTAGTAAGAAAGGGTGGGGGTACATAGGAATACCCTTTATTTGTAAGGTAATCCATAGGAAATGTAGCGGGTGGGTAGTGATAGTGAGGGGGTGGGGTATTCCTCAACGGCTTGTCAAATGCCTCCACACAACCGTTATCAAGTCGTTGAAATCGTTTTTAACCGTTATACTTCTTTCAGTTTTCATGTCGGGCAATGCCTACTAAGAAACCGAAAGATGGAGGAGGAGGAGGAGGAGGAGGAGGAGGAGGAGGAGGAGGAGGAGGAGTCAAGACCAGGAGGAGACCTAGAGCATGCAGAGAGTGGATGTATCTCACGAGAACCCATCTGCATCAAGATGCTGTGAGTGTCAGGACGCATGTCAGCAGCAGGTGAGCGTGTGGCAGGTGACCGGACTGGAAGCGGAAGACGATGGGAGATGCTTCTACACCTGCTCCATGGATGGGACAGTCGTCATATCAGATCTCGACACCAGCCAACTGATCCACAGGAATCTTCAACATCATCGACTTGCTTCCACTGAGTTTTCTTCGCGCAGTTTCGACAACCTAGGGTCGCGACTCTCTTGCTTGAGTCGCGTGGGCCCCGTCCTGCTCGCGGCGTCCGAGGAAGGGTTCTTGTACCACCTGGACGTGCGATGCGGCAAGTACTTGAGGTGCCTCCCTCCCATGCGCTCCCTCCCCTCACCTTCCCTCGCAAACAGGCGGACAAACTCCCAGCAAGAGTCGATACTGAGCATGGCGAGCATGAGGGAGGAGGGTCAGTACGTGACCGGAGGGATCGATGGCTCCATCGTGTTGTGGGACGTGAGATCAGGAAGGCGCTTGAAGCAGTGCAACTTCCACGAGGGCGGGGTCAGCGCCCTCAACACCTCCGGCACTCAGCTCTTCTCGGGGTCATGGGACCGTTCGCTGGTGTCGCTGGACCTGAGCACGGGGAAGAAGACTCGCTTCCTCGTCGACACAGGGCTGGTGCTGGTGGACGAGAGAAACCTCCCGTCCCCCTGGAAGCCCTTCTCCTCCGCTGAGTATAGCAGCGTCGCCCGCGTTGGCTCCCAGCTCCTCTGCGCCAGGCCCAAGAGAGGTGGAGGAGATTGCTGCGATGATGTCAAAGCGCTGCCAACTGCTCCTGCTTCTGCTCCTGCTCCTGCTCCTGCTCATGCTCTGCTGCTTGTGCTGTTGCTCCTCGTAGTATTCCTCCTGCTGCTTGTGCTGGTGCCTTCTCCTGTTCTCGTATCCGGCACCCAGCCTCTGCGAACTGACTCCCCTCCTCTCCCCTGCTGCAGATGCTCCGTCCAACTGCCCTGGGCTGTACGCGTGGAACGTGGGGCTGGAGGAGGATCAGACGTTCGTGCATGACGGCCACACGTCGAACTGCGGGGCTGTGCGCGCTGTGTGCTCGGTCGGAGGCTCCTCCTCCCTCCAGGTGTACGGAGGATACGCCGACGGGTTTGTGAGGAGGTGAGAGAGGAGAGGGGGAGGGCTGGGAGGTCCCATGCGCGTCTGAACGAGAGACCCAGGTGGGACATGTCGTCGACCAGAGTTGATAAGACCTTCATTAGCCACTCCTCGTCCATCACTGCGGTATTCCTTCTCCTTCTCTTTCTCCTTCTCCTCTCCCTCCTCCTCCTCCCTGTTCTTCTTCCCGTCCCCTGCTGTCCTGCTCTCCTCCCTGACTTCTCCCCAGCTTTGGATGGATGTGGCCTCAGGGATCTTGTTCTCAGCTGACGACAAAGGAGAGATCAAAGTAAGAGGAGGAAGAGAAGGACGGAGGGAGAGCAGCAGCAGCAGCAGCAGCAGGCATGAGGAGCAGGAGCAGGAGCAGGAGCAGGAGCAGGAGCAGGAGCAGGAGCAGGAGCAGGAGCAGGAGCAGGAGCAGGAGCAGGAGCAGGAGCAGGAGCAGGAGCAGGAGCAGGAGCGGGAGCAAGGAGCAGGGGTTGGTCGGGGAGAAGTTTGCTGCTACTTCTGGCGTCGCTCTTTTTCTGATTGTAAATTTTGAGGGCTGGGACGTCGAGCAATTTCCTGATGACAATAGACAACTCCAGTGAGCTCCCTCCCTCCCTCCCTCCCTCCCTCCCTCCCTCCCTCCC